CTCCATGTAAATAGAGCGAACGAAGCGAAGTATGAAGCTCCAAGTTTGAATTAACCATGCAATCAATTTGATTGAGAAATTATATAGAAAATTGAAACCAAACTCTCCAAACCAATTCTCCAACCTAACTGACTAAAATCCCCCCATGCCCCCTCCCGGGTAGAGTGCCTTGAATTAGAAGCTTCCCCCCCAGCTAGTTAGCGTGGAGAACCTACTACCCCACTCCATCCACCCCGTTCTCCGAGCGGTCCTCAACTTACTGATGGGCACTTCAGCAAGATTGACATCTGACCAAAATCTACGAGGCCTCCACTTCTTATACTCTCGTCCAACACTAGGGACTCACTTCACTGTTACNACAATTTGGGCATTTCGCTAGCAGGACGCGCGGTGGCTAGCCAACCGAATCAACTGTAGGCGAAGCTTATAACTAGTTGGTTGAGCTTTTGTTTTTTTTATACGAACCGACCTTCCCGGCAATGAAGAGGAGCTAGTAAGTACTCCGATACCAGCCTGTCCGTGGTCATCGCGACCATCTACAAATGAAAAAAGTTGCGACGAATCTTCCAAACGGAAAACGTTGCAAAAGTTTCTGCGCGGCATCAGATGGTCTAGTTGTTGTTTTTCCGTCGGGTATCTGCCACACATACTTACAAAATTGTTGACCTCACATGAGAGGAAATAGTTTAGTATTTTTACCAGAACACGGGGTCTCATGCTGTTGCCCGCAATATTTCCGAGGCCTTTGATCGTATCTGGCAAGAGTGTTTGCTAACCGAACTTCGATGCTATGGCTTGTTAGTTCCTCCTTGATTGTAGCTATCCAGCTTTTTCAAAGTGGCCATCAAAGGTTCTCTTTTGGATACATTTGTCGTTAATGCTAGTGTTCCAAACACTTCACGATTATAACATGAAAAGTCCCGTTTTTTTTTGTTCAAAATTGACTTTATTCATCAACCTAATCTCCATCACGAGCCACACAATCATTCCAGCGCCGCTTCATTCTAGCGAAATTTCTTACCGCCGAGCATTTTTTTGAGGTCTGCGAACAGCTAGTAATTGTTGGGAGCCAAATCTGGAGAATATGGTGGATGTGGAAGCAATTCGAAGTCCAATTCATGTAGTTTTGCCATTATTTTGGTTGACTTGTGACACGGTGCTTCGTCCTGATGAAACAAAATTTTTTCTTTGCCATATGCTGTCGTTTCTTTGCAATGTCGGTCTTCAAACGCTCTAATAATGCCTTATAATAATCACTATTGATAGTATTTCCCTTCTCAAGATATTCGATGAATATTACTCTACGCACATCCCAAGATACAGGCCATATACTTTCCAGCCTCACCAAGTCATATAACACCCGTTTCATGAAAGCTTTAGTGATCACCAGCAATTTCTCAAAAATGTAGGAGGCATTCATGATGTGAACTTGTTTCAGCTTGACAGGGAGTGCCTCCTGAAGATATGCGAAGAATTTTTTTAGTGGACCAATCTTGATAAATGCATGAGACCGACCGACCAAGAGGCCGAGGCCATAACCTTTCCAGCCGATTGTTGTTCGTTCGTGTACTTTGGACGAGGTTCATCAGTTGCTCTCCACTCAGATGACGATCGTTTTGATTCCGGAGTGAAGTGATAGATCCATGTTGAATCCATTGTCACATATCGGCACAAAAAATTCGGATTATGTTTAAACATGGCCAAACACTGTTCAGAATCATCAAGACGCTCTTATTTTTGGTCAACAGTAAGCTCGCGCGGCACCCGCTTTGAACAGAGCTTTCTCATAGTCAAATGCTCATGCAATATAAAGCCAACTCGTTCTTTTGATACCTTTACAATGTCAGCTAACTCACCCAAATTCACTTTTTGATCATTCAAAACGATTTTGTGGATTTTTTAATATTTTTTGATGTTACTGCCTCATTTGGACGTCCACTGCGTTCTTCATCATCTGCGTCTCTACGACCACGTTTGAAGTCAGCAAACCAACGTTTAATTGTTGTTTCTGATGGAACGGAGTCGTTATAACCCTTTTCCAGTACTAACTGAAAAAGCGGTGAATGCAATAAATCTAGCGCCATTTATGTGTTATGTCCAAGACTTTTCAGCCCAGGTAGTACATCAACTATTGGTTATATTTCAGAAGACCATAAATCCAATATTTTGCTTTTTTCTTCTTCCCTTATCACTTCTTGCCACCTAGATGGCCAGATGTTTTATAACTCAATGAACCTTGGGTGATGTAAACCACGTAGAATTTAATGCCACGAAAACCGAAGCACTAGTTTTCACTAAGCTAAGAAGGAAAATAAGGCGGAAATGAACACCATAATTCAGGCATACGATTTTGCTATCCACGTCGAATAATTTGTTGAGTGCCTTATTGGATACAAATATGTCCTGGTATGATTACATAACTGGAATAGCAGAATCAACTTCTTAGAAACTTGAAACTCTATTTCAAACCAAAAAGTTGTAAAAATCTCAGCAACTTGTATGATTATGTCACCCCGACAGAGGGGGCTACAGTTACTTACCATTAAATGTTGCACGAGAAATAGTTTGGTTGCATGTTTTCTAACAGCAAATTGGTATTGACGTCGACGAAGCAACTGCCTCATACATTGCCAATTGAAGTGCCATTTGATTGATGAAAAACCTTGAACCCCATAAATGCGTGGCTTTATGAGGAGCAGCTGGATGTATTGAAAGATGGCGTTATTTTGACAACCGAGTTTTGTTATACTAGGGCTGGTCAAAATATAAGGTCAATGTTCAAATTTTGCGGGCTAGGTACATTAGATCAGCGATTTTTTAATTTTTTTTATGTAAGTACACTCGCTCGAACATATGTTCATAGTTTTATATCTTTAGCATGTTTAGTTTGTTGGTGAGAGGTATAAAAGTTAGAAGTGTTTTACGTGTTCGGCGATTTTCTTAATTGGGGAGCCCACGATGCAAAATGGGGATTTACTCGAGCGTCATCGAGACATATTAGGTTGCAAAGTTTAGATGATAAGAAGAAAAAAATGTTATATAATATATACCTTTTCATCGGTGGGGAAAG